ATTATTCGGATTATTGGCCTCATCTTTGTTGCCATATTTATTACAACGTTTCGGCCTTTCAGTATCTGTCTATATTTCTGAGATGAGGTATTATGTACACTATTTACATTATTCTGATTATTGGCCTCATCTTTGTTGCCATATTTATTACAACGTTTCGGCCTTTCAGTATCTGTCTATATTTCTGAGATGAGGTATTATGTACACTATTTACATTATTCGGATTATTGGCCTCATCTTTCTGCAATATTTATTACAACGTTTCGGCCTTTCAGTATCTGTCTATATTTCTGAGATGAGGTATTATGTACACTATTTACATTATTCGGATTATTGGCCTCATCTTTTTTGCCATATTTATTACAACGTTTCGGCCTTTCAGTATCGGTCTATATTTCTGAGATGAGGTATTATGTACACTATTTACATTATTCGGATTATTGGCCTCATCTTTTTTGCCATATTTATTACAACGTTTCGGCCTTTCAGTATCTGTCTATATTTCTGAGATGAGGTATTATGTACACTATTTACATTATTCGGATTATTGGCCTCATCTTTGTTGCCATATTTATTACAACGTTTCGGCCTTTCAGTATCTGTCTATATTTCTGAGATGAGGTATTATGTACACTATTTACATTATTCAGATTATTGGCCTCATATTTGTTGCCATATTTATTACAACGTTTCGGCCTTTCAGTATCTGTCTATATTTCTGAGATGAGGTATTATGTACACTATTTACATTATTCGGATTATTGGCCTCATCTTTGTTGCCATATTTATTACAACGTTTCGGCCTTTCAGTATCTGTCTATATTTCTGAGATGAGGTATTATGTACACTATTTACATTATTCGGATTATTGGCCTCATCTTTGTTGTCATATTTATTACAACGTTTCGGCCTTTCAGTATCTGTCTATATTTCTGAGATGAGTTATTATGTACACTATTTACATTATTCGGATTATTGGCCTCATCTTTGTCGCCATATTTATTACAACGTTTCGGCCTTTCAGTATCTGTCTAAATTTCTGAGATGAGGTATTATGTACACTATTTACATTATTCGGATTATTGGCCTCATCTTTGTTGCCATATTTATTACAACGTTTCGGCCTTTCAGTATCTGTCTATATTTCTGAGATGAGGTATTATGTACACTATTTACATTATTCGGATTATTGTCCTCATCTTTTTACAACGTCGCCATATTTATTACAACGTTTCGGCGTTTAAGTATCTGTCTATGTTTCCCTGAGATGAGGTATTATGTACACTATTTTTTACATTATTCGGATTATTGGCCTCATCTTTGTTGCCATATTTATTACAACGTTTCGGCCTTTCAGTATCTGTCTATATTTCTGAGATGAGGTATTATGTACACTATTTACATTATTCTGATTATTGGCCTCATCTTTGTTGCCATATTTATTACAACGTTTCGGCCTTTCAGTATCTGTCTATATTTCTGAGATGAGGTATTATGTACACTATTTACATTATTCGATTATTGGCCTCATCTTTCTGCAATATTTATTACAACGTTTCGGCCTTTCAGTATCTGTCTATATTTCTGAGATGAGGTATTATGTACACTATTTACATTATTCGGATTATTGGCCTCATCTTTTTGCCATATTTATTACAACGTTTCGGCCTTTCAGTATCGGTCTATATTTCTGAGATGAAGTATTATGTACACTATTTACATTATTCGGATTATTGGCCTCATCTTTTTGCCATATTTATTACAACGTTTCGGCCTTTCAGTATCTGTCTATATTTCTGAGATGAGGTATTATGTACACTATTTACATTATTCGGATTTTTGGCCTCATCTTTGTTGCCATATTTATTACAACGTTTCGGCCTTTCAGTATCTGTCTATATTTCTGAGATGAGGTATTATGTACACTATTTACATTATTCGGATTATTGGCCTCATCTTTGTTGCCATATTTATTACAACGTTTCGGCCTTTCAGTATCTGTCTATATTTCTGAGATGAGGTATTATGTACACTATTTACATTATTCGGATTATTGGCCTCATCTTTGTTGCAATATTTATTACAACGTTTCGGCCTTTCAGTATCTGTCTATATTTCTGAGATGAGGTATTATGTACACTATTTACATTATTCGGATTATTGGCCTCATCTTTTTTGCCATATTTATTACAACGTTTCGGCCTTTCAGTATCGGTCTATATTTCTGAGTTGAGGTATTATGTACACTATTTACATTATTCGGATTATTGGCCTCATATTTTTGCCATATTTATTACAACGTTTCGGCCTTTCAGTATCTGTCTAAATTTCTGAGATGAGGTATTATGTACACTATTTACATTATTCGGATTATTGGCCTCATCTTTGTTGCCATATTTATTACAACGTTTCGGCCTTTCAGTATCTGTCTATATTTCTGAGATGAGGTATTATGTACACTATTTACATTATTCGGATTATTGGCCTCATCTTTGTTGCCATATTTATTACAACGTTTCGGCCTTTCGGTATCTGTCTATATTTCTGAGATGAGGTATTATGTACACTATTTACATTATTCTGATTATTGGCCTCTTCTTTGTCGCCATATTTATTACAACGTTTTGGCCATTCAGTATCTGTCTATATTTCTGAGATGAGGTATTATGTACACTATTTACATTATTCTGATTATTGGCCTCATCTTTGTTGCCATATTTATTACAACGTTTCAGCCTTTCAGTATCTGTCTATATTTCTGAGATGAGGTATTATGTACACTATTTACATTATTCGGACTATTGTCCTCATCTTTGTCACCATATTTATTACAACGTTTCGACCTTTCAGTATCTGTCTATATTTCTGAGATGAGATATTATTTACATTATTTACATTATTCGGATTATTGTCCTCATCTTTGTTGCCATATTTATTACAACGTTTCGGCCGTTGTACGCTCCGGCTTTCTTCAAGTGGTTGGAATGTTGAACCAAACACTTTATTCCGCTCACTGTGGTAGACTGTTCTAGTTCTACGTGCCATGTCTTAATGGATGTGATTTACCAGTTATCTCCTGTTAATTCTCCTCTCCAATTTCTCCACTGCCTTAACCGGGTATTGAACTCACACTCTTTGGGTCCTGTCACTAGATCTAACCAACACCTTTATCCACTCTGCCATGTGTCCTCAAGGACACACGGCACAGTGGATCTAACCAACGCTTCAATTCACCAATGTATATTTTGTGACAAATATTGCAGGTGATATTTTTTGTTGAGTTTAGACAGATTCTTTTCCATTGTAGGTGTGATAGAATTGGTCGGCAGGATAATATATCTTTTGGTTCATTGAGTGTCTCAGGAGGGGCCTTTTTTTGTTTTACAATATTTTTTTGGCCTTTTGTTTCCAATTATGTTGTAGATTCCGAGATGAAATCCGGTCTCAAATGAATGACAAACGCAAAAATGAAATATAGCAAATAAATGTATTGACGTAATAATACAATTGGTAATACGGTTAGTAGATCCAGAAATGCGGTTAGTAGCAATAATAATATATATACAGTCTGAGAAATTCAGTATCGAAGTAGGACTTCCTTCTGAGTCTACGTGCTCGCAACTGTGACTCCTACAAACGGTAACCTCACTCTCTCACTGTAACAGTGTATCTCTCCTATTATTCCCGGTTATTCAACGGCAGCAGTACAGACTGGGCGACTCCACTTGTAGGAAAAAGTGGTGGACCCCATAACAAATTGAATATAAAATAATTAGGCTGCTAGAGAAGTTGGAAAATATTTTCTATGTATTTCTACTCTTCGTGTAAATAATTAGAACTGCATATTTTTTACTGCTCTTAGATAGAACCCGATGATTATGCTGAATTTTATTTTGTTGTAATGATTGAAATAGAAATTTATTAGGTCGTTTTTGTTGGTTGATACATTGGGTAGCTAGGAAGGGTAAGGAATTGTGTTCTTCCATTTCCTGTGTAAATTTTATTGTGTAAAGGAGAACGAATATAAATCTTCGTCGATATTTTCTAGCATGAATATCGCCTGCAAATTATTCTTTCTTAAATACAGATCAGAAATAATAGATAGACAGAGAGAAACAGACTGAAGTAGAAAGAGAGACAGATACAGATATCTGAACAGACTGAGACAGACAAGGAAGATAGATATGCACAAACTGAGATAGATAGATAGATAGATAGATAGATAGATGGACAGTATATAAATTATAGATAAAAACGTACAATCTGTATTAAAACTTGGTAACCTGTTGCGCCATATGAGCATCTATGTATGTATGTATGTACGTATCTATCTATCTCGTTCTCTTCATATCTATCTATCTATCCTCTATCTATCTATCTATCTATCTATCTCGTTCTCTTCATATATCTATCTATCTATCTATCTATCTATCTATCTATCTATCTATCTCGTTCTCTTCATTATCTATCTATCTATCTATCTATCTATCTATCTATCTATCTATCTATCTATCTATCTCGTTCTCTTCATATCTATCTATCTATCTACATAGATAATATTTTCTGAATATTTTTGTCAAAAACTGTGCCGTTTCATGAAGTCGATCAATCATTTTTACCTCAGGTTGTGCCACTACGCATCGAAAGACAGAAAAACTCAGCCATTGACCAAATAGTTCTACGTTTTCTGTCTTACAATTGAGACAGTTCCCCTTCAACGTTTTGTATGTTAATTCAATAAACCTAACATTTTCCCTTCTTGCATATGTGCTCACTTTGAAAGAATTGTTTCGTGTATTTTTCTTTCTACAGACATTTTGGTTGATGAATATAATTTAATAATAATTTGATATAATCTGATTTGAGCGTTTCTATCAATATAAATTCGACGGTTCCTACTGCATTATGGGAAAATAGTTGTGGCTGCTTGCAAATTATTGTTTTCTGAAACTATTGCGTTCAGACTGTTTACCTGAATCGTTTGTTTTCTCGAAAGAGATTTATAAAATAATATGATGGATTAGCCGTTCATTTCGATACGGGGGTAGATAGATAGATAGATAGATAGATAGATAGATAGATAGATAGATAGATAAGAACACACTGTCATGGATAGATAAAAACATACGCACATAGATTGGTATATAGATAGTTAAGAACATACTGAAATATATATATATATATATATATATATGAACAGACTGAGATAGATAGATAGATAGATAGATATGAGCAAAACGAGATAGATAGATAGATAGATATAAACAGACTGAGATAGATATGAACTGACTGACATAGATACATGGGTAGATAGATATGAACCTACTGAGATAGATAGATAGATAGATAGATAGATAGATAGATAGATAGATAGATAGATATGAACAGAGTGAGATAGATTGATAGATAGATCGATAGATAGATCGATAGATAGATAAAATTAGAACACACTGTCATAAATATATCGATAGTTGAGAACATACGCAGATAGATAGTTATATAGATAGTTAAGAACATGCATATATATATATATATATATATATATATATATATATATATTCAGCATGTTCTATATATATATAAGAACCTATAGAGATAAATATATATATATATATATATATATAGATAGATAGATAGATAAGAACATACGCAGATAGATAGTTATATAGATAAATAAGAACATGCTGAGATAGATAAGAACATGCTGAAATACACACACACACACACACACACATATATATATATATATATATATATATAAGAACAGACTGAGATAGATAGATATGAACAAAATGAGATAGATAGATAGATAGATAGATAGATAGATAGATAGATAGATAGATAGATATAATCAGACTGAGATAGATATGAACTGACTGACATAGATACATGGGTAGATAGATATGAACCTACTGAGATAGATAGATAGATAGATAGATAATGAGAAAAGCTTTCATAAATATGTGTCGCTTTCAAACTAAATGTGACTCCTCGGCCCTTGATATTGTTTTAATTTCTCCCCTCACAGGGGACTCTCCATCTTTCTCCATACGTTTGACGAAGCCGAATTTAATATTCACACATGAGTGGCTTTCTATTTGGCTGAATGAAAGATTCAATCAATGTCTCAGTTCACTATTGGAATTGTACACAGTATTGTTTTCCGAACATTTGTCTTTCGTTCTTCATTCCGAAGGGAAGCCCCGACCCCACCTCAATATACGTCATGATTGCAAACAATCACACCGAAAGAAAAAAAGCTATATTTCGCGCTAGTACTGCCGCTATCACTACCACCATCTGTTATGGTCCGGTTCCTTGTACAACTGTGATAGTCCAAGGTAGAACGAATAACGAAGAACTCGAACACGGATATGGAATAACACAGATATATTACAAACAGGAATATATATACAGAGAAGTAGAAAGTGTTAGTACGAACAATCAGGTTTAGTAGTAATTGTCTGAACGCCTCTGTTTCGGACTGCCTCTGACTCGACTGACTGACTCGCTCGCTCTGACTGACTGACAGACTCCTGACGGACCTCACTCCAGACTTCAGACTAAACGGTATTTAGTCACCCCCCACGAGGGAATCATGTGGCACAAGGTCGGTTTAACGTTGGATCTCCGTCCCGTGGGCTCGGCCAAATATATGCCCTTTGAACCCGTATAAACGGGTTTAGGGTCGGTTTACCTCCCCGAAAGAGACTCCGCCCTTCGGCGTAGCTACGTTCGGGTTCCTCCCGCCCGAAGGCAGAGAGTTCAACCGATCAGCCGGTCGCCCGACTTCGGACTGAACTCCGTGCTTCCTCTTGAGGCGCAGTATTTATTACGTATGGAATAGTCCATTATGTTATTATGGGTAAGGTCCCGTAACACCATCAGAACTACCATTGACACCAAGACCATTGTTAGTGATGCCGCATTAGCCGGATCTACAATTTCCTGATTTACCGCTATCAATATCCACGAACCCAAAAGCACGATTTTGACAAGAACAATAATATTTAAAAGGGTTGGCTCAATAGTCCATAGGTTGACTTTGAACTAATGGTGATAGAGATGTGAAATCTTGCAGGTATTAATTTCAATTCTTCTTCATAATAACTGCATTGTTTATTTCAAGGTAAATTGATATACGACTGTTCAAAGAATGCTTCCAAAACAACTTGTAGCGAATATTCTTGTAAATGGAAAACATTTGGCATCGAGGTGTCATCAAGTACCTTCAGAAAAATAATTAGGACATTCCAAGGACATTCATACTGACATGGACATTTGATCAGATTTCTTTTATCAATAAACCGATTCGAGAACTTGTATATCATTAAATGATAGTATGCGAGGGTCGGCTGAACAGTTCATAGGCTGACCAAGATGCTCTCATGGAATATGACCAAATGAGGTTTATTTTTCAACGTAGTCCCATTCTTTGATTGTGGTTCTATCGAACTCACAACTCTTTGGGGCTAGTCACTGGATCTAACATCTTTATTCACTAGGCCATGTGTCCTTGTCGAATAGTTTTCATCCTGGGTCTACCATCGACCCAGTAATTTGTGCAATAACAGTACATCTGTCAGTAATAAACGACGCTATATCTTCCAGTCTCCTAATGGTCGTCTTGTTGTACGCATTAAATCAATTCACCGAGAAAAGGCATACTTGTCTTACTCCAATTTTTATTATTTTGTATTCACTAAACTCGTTATCTACTCGCATGCAAATTGTTTATTCAAAGAGAAACCAGATTATTTGACTGGCGTTCCCTTATTAAAAAAAAGCTGTTGTAATATTTCAAGTATCTCTTCATGATGTAACTTATAAATTGTCTTACATAAAACATTGTTATCCGTCTTTTTAATTTGTGGTTTATTCAAACAGAAACACATTATTCGACTGGATTTCTCTTATAAATAAAGCTGATCTAATATTTCAAGTAACACTTCATGATATAGCTTATAAAATGTCTGATATAAAACATGTCTATATTTCTGAGATGAGGTATTATGCACATTATTTAAATTATTCGGATTATTGTCCTTATCTTTGTCGCTATATTTATTATAAGGAATTCGACATTCCTTATAATAAATTATTTATTTATTTCGCTCACTGGGGCAGACTGTTTTAATGTTTAATTGATGTCAGTTATCAGTTATCTGCTGTTAATTTCCCTTTGAAAGTTCTCCACTGCCTTAACCGGGTATTGAACTCACACTCTTTGGGTCCTGTCACTGGATCTAACTAACTCTTTTATCCACTGTGCCATGTGTCCTTGAGGACATCTGTGCATTAATTTCTGGGTATTATAAACCTAATGTCTTCAGCAAAAATTTTTTACACCAGTGAGCGAAATAAAGGGTTCAGTTCGACATTCCAACCATCTGACGAAGGCTGGAGCGTACAATGGTAGAAACGTTGTAATAAATATGGCGACAAAGATGAGCACAATAGTCCGAATAATATAAATAATGTATAAATCATAAGTATATGTATTTCTACTTGTTGTTTATTTAAACTGAACACACGATATTCGACTGGCTCTTCTTTGTAAATCAAGCTGTTCTAATATGTGAAGTATCTCATCATGACGTAACTTATAAAATGTCTAATGTAAAACATAGGTATATATATTCTGCTGATCATAAAATAACATTTCTTGTCCCAATAATTATTTTAGCAAAGAAATACTAAAACCATTATAATTTTTAAATATTTCAAAGTGTTCGTAGAATTTAGTTCTTTGACAAGAAACATTTGTACATTCATTTTATGCGAATGTTTTTATTTTCATTCTATTTTTGAAGGTCACATAACAAACGAAACGACTGTTGAAACATTTTTTTTCAACGTTGTACAGGGTGAGTCAAAATCATGTTAACACTAGTATGAAAGAAATCATTCATTTAGAGTTTACGGATCAGTCTCCACCTGCCCATCAGAACGATTAATGCACAAAAATCATCGATCAACAATACAATTTGATACCTTGACACACATTTCACAGGGAATGTTTGATATTACATCTTTTATTCTTTTCTTGAATTCTTCGATAACTCTAACTTTTTTGCCATACCCGCGATCGTTTATCATATCCCCATAACCAGAAGACACAGGGGGTCAGATTAAGGGAGTGTGCTGGCTATGCCAACGGTTCACCGTGACCAAGCCAACGATAGATCGAAACAAGCGCGAACAGTACGGGCAATAGGAGGCAGTGCACCATCCTGTTGGAAATACCCTGCTCGTCTGATTTGTAGGGACATGTTAGCAATGGCAAACACTTGCGGCATTTTTAGGTAAGCATTTGCAGTTATTGTTGAAGTTGTAAAGAAATATGGGCCAGTTACTCCCTGAAGGTTACCTTGTGACGTTGTAGATACGTTGCCTTGTAACGTTTCCTAACAGAAAATATAATGATACATTCCTGGAAGAGCGTGCATTCATTATCTAAATTAGTGATCCTTAAGTAATATTACGAAATGTTCGACTTTCTGTAAATAAAAATCTTCCGATGTTATAATTGACCATTGCGAAAATCTTCAGCCACAGAATATCACAGTGTTTCCATGACGTTCTGTCATCGTTACGGGATGAGCAATCAGAAAAATAGTTGATTACAGTAACGCCACCAAAATTGTCACATTTCCTGAAGCAAAAATACAATGGGTCTGTAACTTTGCAATAACCTTTCGTGTTGGTTAACTGCTTTTTATATGATGGTGCATAAATAGGATACTAATCATATAAAATGCCAGGGATCTTCATTTTTAATGGATAATATGGATTCTCTTGTTGATTTAGTCGTACGAGGTTATGAAAAAAAAACTGCTAGAATATCCACAGAGATGATTTGATTTTAGTGAAGACATATGTAAAAGCAGGTATAATCTTCAGATGAACTGATAACAGAGGTCTGCAAATAACCCTCTTCAGATATGAATTCCGATTTTTTCTTCTCCTAGACTGGCAACCACGCAAGGCAAGGGAGCACTCTCTACGCTGTTATATGAAGGGCAATACAGATAAATGAACGATACCAAAACCGATCGGAATGTGAAAACGACGCTGCATAACCGGTGGGTATTCTGCTAGTATTGAATAAAACGCCGTCGCTTGAGGCCCATTTTTAAGCGATTTTTAATAAAAATGTTTCTATGAACGTTTGTATCCGATACGTTCATTCATTCCTTTGTTTGTTTTTACTGTTGTAGTTTTTTTTATTTAAAACGTTTTCTTTGATGAAATTCTGACAAAGCATACATTATGATTTCGTCGACTGAATGAAAGTTTAGTTCCCTCAACCATATCACAGCTTAGTAAAGAGCATCATACGAATTTTGAGTGTCACAAATTCATTGAAATAAATTATAACAAATCTGACTAATTGCATAACCTTTACGCGTGTGGCTGCTAAAAGCCATCGCAATAAGGTCATTGCGATAAGGTCAGTTCATTTCTAAAATAGATATCTCATTTTTTGTAAACCCCGAGAACGCTAGATAGTCGTCTTTATAATTTAAAGCAGGAATATCGTTTTGATTCTTACAATTTATTGGACATAAAGCTATTGTGAGGAACTTTATAAACAGCAACGAAGAAAAATGGATGATTTGTGACAGGGAAATGGCGTCTACCAGATCATAAAAGTCACATAATTCAAAAGTTGCTTGTTCAATTGTCGGTAACAGACAGACGACATTTTCTATTTCTCCTTTCATATATTAATTGTCAAATATGAAGGGAAGGCTACTATTGTGTTTCCTCGCTTTCAATTAAAAAAATTTGGATTCAATTTTTCATTTTTTTTTAATTTATACTGTGTTTCCATGGCGTCAGTATCTGATGACTTTCACTAAAAATATATTAACAGCAAAAGTCTTTTCAATAATCAGGCGTTCGTTTCTGTATTCTATTAATTTTAATCAGTCTCTGGTGATGTTCATTAGATATCAAGTGACAATAAGCTTTCTTAAGACGGCAGCAATCCACCTCATAATTGGGATTCTAAGGTTGCCATTTCTTTCGTTTTCATTAAACGTTCCAGGTATTCCTGTAATGATGGATATAATCATAACTCTCTTGTACTCAGTTTTATAATTTCTCCAGCACAGAATCGGAAGAGATATCACCGTCCAAGCGTGTATCACGTCTAACTGACTGACTGACCGAAGGGGTAAGAGACGTAGTTTTTGGGGATATGTGGGGAAGATAACGGTTGACACTAGATTTGAAGAAATTATGATTGTCCTGACCAGAGAAACATCCTTTCCGAGATCTCTTTGCAGATCAATAGCTTTCTAAGATCAATAACTTTCTAAGATCAATAACTTTCTAAGATCAATAGCTTTCCAAGATCAACAGCTTTCTAAGATCAACAGCTTTCCAAGATCAATAGCTTTCTAAGATCAGTAGCTTTCGTAGATCAACAGCTTTCGTAGATCAACAGCTTTCTAAGACCAGTAGCTTTCTTAGATCAACAGCTTTCTAAGATCGATAACTTTGTAAAATGAATAGCTTCCCAAGATCAATAGCTTGCTAAGATCAGTATTTTTCTTAGATCAACTGCTTTCTAAGATCAAACAGCTTTCCAAGATCAATAGCTTTTTAAGATCAGTAGCTTTCTTAGATCAACAGCTTTCTAAGATCAATAGCTTTCCAAGATCAATAGCTTTCTAAGATCAGTAGCTTTCTAAGATCAGTAGCAGACAATTTCAAGTGTCTAATATTCGTGCTAGGCTTAGTGTGTAAAAAAGATAGCGAAATGCGAAGACGCATTTTAGCAAAGCTAGAAAATGACCAAAACATGACACTACAAAAGCTAGCCGAGTACTGTCAGCAATGCGTAAGCATTAAACAAGATTCTGAGAAAATAGAAGAAACTGCTATCGCAAATGTGAAGAAAGTAAATAGGAAGACTCGTTTCCGTTCTCCATCGTCTGAACGGAAGTGGTATCCTACAACAAGAATGAACAGAGACTATAAAAAAAAAACTCCCTCCGAGTACATGTTACGGATGCGGTCAGTGGCACTGGCACAATAACTGTCCATATAAAAATAAAGCTTGCAGAAATTGCAACAAAGTAGGACATAAGTAAAAGTTACTAAGTCAGATGAAGATCAAGACCTGAATATTCGAAAATACCTACATGTAAAAATGTAAAACAAAAAGGTTAAAATGCAACTGGATTCAGGATCTGACATTTCGATTATTAACACACAAACATGGAAAAATCTAGAAAAGCCAACTCTGCTAAAGTCCAACAAAATAGCCAGGATGGTAACTGGAAAAAAGATAAAATTTGAAGGTAAAATATAGGTGAATATAACCTTCAACAACAAGTCTATAAAAATGAAAATTTTTGTAATGAAAAACACGAACAACCTGTTTGAAACTGACGCAATCACTAAGTTCAATCTATGGGACGCCCATTAGTTCTTTTGTAACAAATATTAGTGAAAGCAAAGACAACATAAAAATGTACAAACATAATTGAAAATAGCTTTCCCCCAAGTTTTCGCTGAAGGACTTGGACATTGCACGGAAGCATCAGCAAAAATACAGCTGAAGAAAATATTCAACCAATTTAAAAAAAAGGTAGCATCCCTTTTTGCTGCATTAGAAAAAATTGACCAAGAACTCGAAAGACTAACGAGAATTGGTGTGATCTCGAAAACGGAATACAGTGACTGGGCAGCTCCGTCTGTCTACGTAAAGAAGTCGGGCGAAATTCGCGTCTGCGCCGATTTTTCAACCGGACTAAACGACGCAATAGAAGAGTATCACTATCCACTACTAAGTCCCGAAGAAGTGTTCGCAAAGTTAAATGGTGCAAAAATCTTTTCGAAAATAGACCTCAGCGAGGCATACTTGCAAGTACCAATGGATAACGAAAGCGCAAAGTTGCTATGCATTAACACGCATAAAGGCTTGTTCAGATACGAACGTTTACCGTCAGGGGTGAAGACAGCACCCGCAATATTCCAGAAAATAATGGATACGATGTTATCCGGTTAGACTACGATAGCATATCTCGACGACATACTCGTGAAAAGTGAATCGGTGGATGAACACAAACACCATTTACGCAAAGTTTTCGAAATGTTAAGAAGCTATGGGTTTAGAGTGAAAGAAAATAAATGCGATTTTCTCCTGGAGGAAATCAAGTATCTGGGACATATAGTAAATAAAGAAGGAAAAAAGCCAGATAAAAATCGAGCATCGGCAATAAAAGATATGCCTGAGCCAAAGGATATTAAATCCCTACAAAGTTTTTTAGGCTTGGTGTCATATTACCAGGATTTTATCCCAGTGTGACGGTTACACACCTGGCCCAGTGTCGGATCCTTTGGTTACGGCGCCAACGGTGACGTCGCTCCTCCTGGTCGCTCCTCCTGGGTCCAAGCGTGCCGCTCCAACCCTTTGGTCAGATGATCACCAGCCTCGCCTTTCCCGACTCGCTTCCAATACCTGGTCACTAAAGCAACTATACCGATCTCCGGTCTGTCTACCCACGCTGTGTTTAGATCTTAGACAGACGGGACCAGCAGGGATCGGGGCCGATACAAGTTGAGTCCGACGGGGGTGGCAAAACACAAATAAAATAAAAACTCACGACACCAAACAAAATTGCTGATAAAAAGGGTAACAATCTTTTATATCTTAAAGTCCGTTACATAAAAAACAAAAGTGTTCTCATTTCCCGACCCGCTCTGTGGACTATGGCACCAAGCTTCTATCACACAAATAGCAAAAAAAAAAAAAAAAAAATGTCGAACTACCTACTTTCTAGAATCATGTATGTATGTCGGCGTGTGGTTCAGTTCGACATTGGGCTAATTTCTATCGGTCGTTCGCAGTTGGTTCTTCTTCGACGTGAACTGTATTTTTCTTCTTCGTTTGTTTAGACTGGTAGATTTTTGTTTCAACCCAGTGGAAGATTTCTTGCTTCGATTCAGTGGAAGATTTCTTGCTTCGATTCAGTGGAAGATTTCTTGCTTCAATTCGGTGGAAGATTTCTTGTCTCAATTCGGTGGAAGATTTCTTGTCTTCAACTTGGGCTGGAAGGATTTCTTGTTTCGAGGATTTTTCTGTCGTCCGAGGGTGAACTGCAACTCACGCCCAACCTAACTCCAACTTCAACTCAACTTCAGCTCCAACTGATTTCTGCCGACTGGGGTCCTGCTTATATTGACGCCGCAACAAACCGGGGGGGTCGGTCGGCGTCAGGGGTTTCTCGATAATTCAAAAGCCGTATTAATTTTG